AAAAAAAAAAAAAAAAGGTAACAACAGTATGATCACGAGTTTACATCAATAAGATCAATCGAGAGTCAATCAAGTTTGACTGATATTGTTTATGAATTTGACTAGCGTTGACTACAAATTAATCATTACTTTCGAATTTTAGGGAGATTCAAGCATGAATTCTGTCATGGGCTGCTTTCCACACATGCCCCATGACCCCTTGGCCGCGCCCCATGGCGGCCTAGCAAGCCTCACAATGCCTAGCGCCATGGTCGGCCCCGTGGTCTTGGCTGCGCCAATGACAAGCGCGCATGTGCCTCTGTCGCCCCACCGATGCANTCCCGCACGGCACTGACAATCTAGTCTAGCGTGCGGCGAGGACCTCATTGGCGGACAACAACCGACTGACATCGGTTGCTTAGCCTTACGTTGCCCTTCCAAAGATCATCAGGAAGACGTTGCGTAACAATTCACACGCCCTACTAACTTTGCAACTCCTTTATTTATAAAAGGGCGGTTTTAAAATTACTTCATCTTTGGGTTCAAACCTATTATTTAGCTAATAGTATAATATAATTCCTTTTTACCTAGTTAATGATGAATTATTAATGAAAAACCCTCTTGAAAGAGCATTCCTTTGCCAGCCAAAGCTATAGGCCGTAATTATTACGGCATGATCCACTGATGTTTATACATATATTCCGGCAATAATTTTTGGTACTAAATATAATTGGAATTTTTTTCGTTCCTATACAATATTTGAAAATTATTTACCAAAATTATTTTAATTTTGTATATTACTCTTTCTAAATAGGGATTATTTACAAATTATATACATTCCACCTTAAAGGGCTCTCAATTCATTATTAGTGCATTCAATCAAGATATTTAGTTACATTTTTTTCTTTTTATCTCTCCTTTCTCTCATCTTCTCTCCATATCTAACTTATATTTAGGGATTTCTGTTTGATAATTATTTCAAAATACATCCGTCAAAGCCATGAGATATTGCTGAAGTTGTCATCTTTCTTTTTTAGGTCTTCTTTCTTTTGCTGGTGGATTTAATCTGCGTCCTCAGCTTGCTTAAGGCTTTCCAGTTGACTGAAACCTGAAATTAAAACCCTGATCACAGTAGGAAACCATCAGAAATGGTGTCGTTTATTCAGAAATTCTCATTAAAACGAAGAACATTGGGAAAAGGGATACAAAGAAGTACTTAGAAGATGGACTTTACAACCAGGAGAAGGTAATGTCTCCAAAAGCAGGCGACGAAAAACCTACATCGAATGTTCCAGCTGAACAAAATTTACTATCTCCTCGGACTTCAGATAAGATAAAATCAACTGGGAAAAGAACAATATATGGTACATCAACATGCAAATTAAAAATAAATTTCGTACAAATTTAATGCAAAATTGATTATCTACAACATACATAGTAAAAGCAAATTTCATACAACTAATTATATATTATACGACTTATTTACAACTTATCTACAGCTTTCATACATTATTTCTACCCGGTTAAATATAACTACAATATCATACAACTTAAATACAATTTTTATATAAATTTTATACAATGTCTTTTGTATATATTTTGTATCTGATTTGTATATATATTTTTCTGTGGTGTATGCTTTTTGCTCTCTAAAATTCCAATCAAAACTTACTTTCTTAATTTAATTTTGATACATATCAACAACTTTATATAAAAAGGTAATAATGATAACTTAAATACAGTTTTTATACAATGATTCATACATTATACAACTATTTTTCAACTTTCATACAATATTCAAATAATATATAT